GGCGGAGCTACAAATCTGTTTTGGACGCAGGAAAATTGTTGAAACCCAATGTGTGTCCTTTAACACCGAGACTACATGATAAAAGGTCCATTACATCTGCACATTCTGAGCTCAGCCCTGGTTCTACTCTGGGATTTCCTGGACTGACGACTCCTGATGAGACTGTAGTGAATAGAGTGTGTTGTGTGTTTGTGCGGTGTGTTTGGGTTGTGTGTTTGTGTTGTGTGTTTGTGCGGTGTGTTTGGGTGGTGTGTTTGTGTTGTGTGTTTGTGCGGTGTGTTTGGGTGGTGTTTGCGCCCAGGCTCAGGGCTCATCTCCTCCGCCGCAGCATGTCCAGATGGTCTGTTTTTCCAGCTCCAATCCACCATTGTCCGACTCACTCTCCCAAATCTGCCCTGTGTGTGTGTGTGTGTGTGTGTGTGTGTGTGTGTGTGTGTGTGTGCGTGTGTGTGTGTGTGTGTGTATGTGTGCAACCCAGACTTCTGTCTCAGTATACATACAGACTCAGACCTCTGTCTCAGTATACATACAGACTCAGACCTCTGTCTCAGTATACATACAGACCCAGACTTCTCTGTCTCAGTATACATACAGACTCAGACCTCTGTCTCACATGTGAGGAACCACAGTGTACTTTGAAACACTTATAAAAGGCATTTTTAACGTAGCCTCAAACCGTGGAGCAGTAGTTCCTGATGCAGAGGGCGATCTTACGTCTGAAGCTGGACTAACTGTAGTTTCACCCTAGTTGTGTTTGTTTGTTTTCCTAATTTCCTTTCCCGCACACACCCACTGCTGCCCCCTGCTGCGCTCTCATCCTCTGGTTACTGTCTGCCTCCTTTAATATGCATTATATTTGTTGTATCTTGTTTCTGACACAGTGGTGGTTCCTGCTTTAGTGGGAAACGCTCTGTTTTACTGGGCTTATAAAGGCTTTCATTTCTTTATGAGGCTTTTGTCGTTGTTAGTTTGGACCCCCCACAGAGAGGCCCCTGGCTTTAATTGTGTTAGTGAGAGTGAGTGGGTGTGTAGGGTGGGTGGTGATTTGTTTTGTTCTTGGAATAGATATTTGCTCAATAAACAGTTTATTTTTGCTTCCTATGACAGAATATATATTTAATGTGTTCCATTGAGGGGAACTGTGTTTGCTTTTTAAGTGCTTCTTTTATAATAATGTATTTGCTTTGATAAATTGCTTTTCCTCTGCTCAAAGAAAATATTTCACTACTACTGTAGCCACAGCTGCCCTGGGGTAGACTTCAGTCTGTGGAAGTGGTTGCTCTAATTGTCAGCTACAGCTTGAGAGAACAGTGTGGTGGCAGAATGTATCTGTCACTCATCCGGCTCCTGCGGCTGCAGTTACCATTAGCAAAGGCTGTGATTGACGTTCATAATTCCAAATGTGGAGGATGTTGCAAATGAGCCGAGAAGCTGCTCGCCTCAGGGCTTCATCTGAGGGCAGTGAGCTCTGTGGGTGTCTGTCCTCGCCTTCCATTGTCCAGGGGCCGACGGACAGCCCTCACTCACATTCACACTATTGTTTTGGATAAGTGACTCTCTGAAGCAGATGGTGTGGTCTCCCATCACAGTACTAACCCAGCACAGACCTGCTGAACCCTGTGTAGCACATCCCTGAAGGAGACACTCCTCACATTAGTGCAGACGGAGCAGGTCTGATGAGGAAATCATGTGTTTTTAACCGGGTTAAAAACATGATTGTGCAGAATATGTGTTTTCAAGTTTCATGTGGAGACGCCGCAGACACAGGTATCATCCGAGACAAAGACAGACGAGAGAACTTCTGTTTTAGAGAGAATAATATCATAAATAATGTGTTGATGATAAGAGCCTGTGTCCTCACTCACTGTGAACTGTTTCCACGAGAGCAGAGCCGTGATCATATTTATAACTTATCTATAACTGAAACGATTGGATCCGAGTTTAGTGAGGCATTTAGCATTTAGCCTAGCTTTAGCATGTAGCATGTAGCCTAGCTTTAGCCATCTCCTTTGCCACTAACGAAGCCCGTGAGGAGTAGAGCCCCAACAACTTCACTTCAATGACATTTACTAAACATTCCTCTTGCTCCGGCTTCAGTTTCTTGATATTTGGATTGAACCAGAACAGATTATTTTACTATTGCATTCTCCGACAAACTACAACCAGCAAATTCTGTGCAAATGCGCGGGTGGGATACAACGGAGGTAACCACAGCCACCAGGATCAGACCCAGACTTGCATGTATGAGATGATAATGACCAGCGTGTACAGATGACAGGCTCATGCTGATCAGGAACAATGTTTTTACTCCATTGTCCTTTTGTCCATATATTTTCTACAGAACAAATCCTGTCACATGCATTGTAGTTTGTTTAGTTTGTCACTTCAGGACAAATCCAGCTCTGCCCTTTAACTCCCAGATCAAAGAAAGCGTGCCCCTCCCTCACAGAGATATTTGTGGATTCTGGGGGCGTCTCCTGTCCGTCATGTGTGCACCAGGGGCTGGACCGGGCTTGGACCAGGCGAGGACCAGAGAGCGTGTGTTTGCTCCACAGCCTCAGGACACACTGAGTCTCATGCAGTATTTTCAGGGCTCTTTCTTCCACGCTGCTGACTCTGTATTTGTGTCCTTCACCTGTCAGACTGCACAATGAACACACAGGCAAAACAATGGTCCTGATTAAGCTAGCTTGTCTGGGCTCTTGTAGGTTCTAGTGTGTGGAGAATCAGAATACAAAGCTAGCAGTGAAAAGGCGAACGCGGCTCAACCTTTTTATCTTTTAAACATTTTGAACAAGTCGTGCATGCTTTTATTTCGTCACGCCTGGACTACTGTAATGTTCTTTATACAGGCATTACCCAAAATGCACTCTCACGCTTACAGTTAGTCCAGAACTCCGCTGCACGACTTATTACTGGAGCTAAAAAGCGTGACCATATTTCACCAATCCTCGCATCTTTGCACTGGCTTCCAGTCAAATTTAGAATTGATTTTAAGGTTTTGTTGTTTGTTTTTAAAGCGTTGAACGGACTGGCCCCTCAGTACGTCGCAGACCTCATTGAAGTCTACACCCCAACGCGCGCTCTGAGGTCTGAGGGCCAGCTCCAGCTCGTGGTTCCTAAGACGAAACGTAAAACTCGAGGGGACAGAGCGTTCTCCGTCGTCGGCCCTAAGCTGTGGAACGCTCTGCCCCTCCACGTCCGAACAGCCACAACATTGGAGTGTTTTAAATCTCGTCTTAAAACCCACTTTTATTCTCTGGCTTTTAACACCGCGTGAGTTGTGTGGTCCCTGTGTCTTTTTAATTTTTTTTTTTAGTGTTTTATGATTTTTATTGATTTTATAAATTGATTATTTATTTATTTTTTATTCTATTTTTTGTGTACTTTTTTGTGCAGCACTTTGGAACTGTTCTGTTGTTTAAATGTGCTATAGAAATAAAGTGGATTGGATTGGATTGGAACTTCACCTCAACAAACTTCAAAAAGATTAAAAATATATGTCAGAATTTGGAAACAGAGAGTATGGCTTAAAAGGAGGCGGATCAGTCAGATTCTCCACAGAGAGGTGTGAAGGGACGAGACTTTGCAGATCACAGTAGCAGAGTACAGCACAGACATAAGAGAAGTATGTACAGTGATAATCGAATGCACAGGCCCTGCAGGCTCCGCTCAGAACTCACATTCTGAAGTCAATATTCTCAAGTCGGAGAACAGCTACTTATCTATCTTCGAGCCTGGATCCTTCAAATATGTAAGTTTCAGATCAAAACATAGTCTCAATTCAATTCCATTTACTCTTGTAATGAAATCTGTCTCTGAAAAAGTTGTTGTTTTGTGTTTTACATTTGTTATTTTTCTTGCTTTTTTACTCCTGAGATGTTGCTGCAGTTCAGTGTTCATGGTTTTACACTGGTCCAGACCAGAGCAGAGAGGATTCATGGTTTTACACTGGTTCAGACCAGAGCAGAGAGGATTCATGGTTTTACACTGGTCCAGACCAGAGCAGAGAGGATTCATGGTTTTACACTGGTCCAGACCAGAGCAGAGAGGATTCATGGTTTTACACTGGTCCAGACCAGAGCAGAGAGGATTCATGGTTTTACACTGGTCCAGACCAGAGCAGAGAGGATTCATGGTTTTACACTGGTCCAGACCAGAGCAGAGAGGATTCATGGTCTGAACGAAGTGGATCAGGTGAAAATCCACTGGAGGAATGCTAACTTTATGAAAAATACTAATGAAGCATTTTGCATTTTACTTTGGACCAGAGCAGAGAAAATGGTCCAAACCAGAAGCTGCTCCTCTGCTGCTGTGACCTGAAGGACTGTTGTATTTTATTACTACTGTTGGCTTTTTAGAAGGATCAATTTATTTTTTATTTATGCTGCTACTGGACACCTGAATTTCTCCTGCGGGGATCAATAAAGTATCTAACTAACTAACTATTTCCCTAAATCACAACAGTAGTTATCTCAGAGGACGTATCAAAGCTGTCGACCAGAATCAGAATCATTTTTATTGCCTTGTAAGTAGCAAGAAGTCACAGGAAATTGCTTTGGCTCTCGGTGCAACAGTCAGAAAGAGTAAGAGGTAAAGAATAGAGTAAGGCATAATAAAAATCAGCAACACTTCTAAGGTGTATGAGAGAACAAACATTTCAAACACAGGAAATGCAACGATAAAAACACATATTGGTCCATAAATGTGTAATGTTGACTGTCCTGGACCATCACCTCTGTCCATAGACCCTCCTGCATCGGCAAAGAATAACTCTAATCTAAAAACCCAGTGGGAGAAAAGTGAGAAACGTGAGGGAGGGATGGAAAACAACAGAACATGGTGGAAAGCTGAGTCCCTTCTCCTTCCATGTGTTTCCTGAGACCCTCCTCTCTGTCCCCTCCCTCCGGGCGCTGTCCGTGGTGCTGAAAGCCATCTGCGCTCACAGGCCTGACCCCGGCTCCGCACAGCCCTCCTGACCTGCTGAACTGCTCACTCTGATGGATGTAGACGTATCAGATTACTGCAGAAAAACACAATGCAACACACGTCTTCAAACGAACCTCTCCTACAGCTACGTCCAGAGTCTTCAAACAAACCTCTCCTACAGCTACATCCAGAGTCTTCAAACGAACCTCTCCTACAGCTACGTCCAGAGTCTTCAAACGAACCTCTCCTACAACTACATCCAGAGTCTTCAAACAAACCTCTCCTACAGCTACGTCCAGAGTCTTCAAACAAACCTCTCCTACAGCTACGTCCAGAGTTTTCAAACGAACCTCTCCTACAGCTACGTCCAGAGTTTTCAAACGAACCTCTCCTACAGCTACGTCCAGAGTCTTCAAACAAACCTCTCCTACAGCTACGTCCAGAGTCTTCAAACGAACCTCTCCTACAGCTACGTCCAGAGTCTTCAAACGAACCTCTCCTACAGCTACGTCCAGAGTCTTCAAACGAACCTCTCCTACAGCTACGTCCAGAGTCTTCAAACGAACCTCTCCTACAGCTACGTCCAGAGTCTTTAAACAAACCTCTCCTACAGCTACATCCAGAGTCTTCAAACAAACCTCTCCTACAGCTACGTCCAGAGTCTTCAAACAAACCTCTCCTACAGCTACGTCCAGAGTCTTCAAACGAACCTCTCCTACAGCTACGTCCAGAGTCTTCAAACGAACCTCTCCTACAGCTACGTCCAGAGTCTTTAAACGAACCTCTCCTACAGCTACGTCCAGAGTCTTCAAACGAACCTCTCCTACAGCTACGTCCAGAGTCTTCAAACAAACCTCTCCTACAGCTACATCCAGAGTCTTCAAACAAACCTCTCCTACAGCTACATCCAGAGTCTTCAAACAAACCTCTCCTACAGCTACGTCCAGAGTCTTCAAACAAACCTCTCCTACAGCTACGTCCAGAGTCTTCAAACGAACCTCTCCTACAGCTACGTCCAGAGTCTTCAAACGAACCTCTCCTACAGCTACGTCCAGAGTCTTCAAACAAACCTCTCCTACAGCTACGTCCAGAGTCTTCAAACGAACCTCTCCTACAGCTACGTCCAGAGTCTTCAAACGAACCTCTCCTACAGCTACGTCCAGAGTCTTCAAACGAACCTCTCCTACAGCTACGTCCAGAGTCTTCAAACGAACCTCTCCTACAGCTACGTCCAGAGTCTTCAAACGAACCTCTCCTACAGCTACGTCCAGAGTCTTCAAACGAACCTCTCCTACAGCTACGTCCAGATAGCCTGGAAAAATCCAGACTCACCGCTGTACCAGCCGGTGATCCCCCGCTGGATAAAAAAATACAGAGGGGAATCATTCTGGTCTCACCAGGCTAACGTCCAGAGTCTTCAAACAAACCTCTCCTACAGCTACGTCCAGAGTCTTCAAACGAACCTCTCCTACAGCTACGTCCAGAGTCTTCAAACGAACCTCTCCTACAGCTACGTCCAGAGTCTTCAAACGAACCTCTCCTACAGCTACGTCCAGAGTCTTCAAACGAACCTCTCCTACAGCTACGTCCAGAGTCCTCAAACGAACCTCTCCTACAGCTACGTCCAGAGTCACTGAACAAATGTCTCCTCCATCTGCCACCACCACTGCTATTTATAAAAAGACATCTTGTGCTTATATATGTAAGTGTCTATGTGTGTGGGTATCTGTGTGTGTGTGTGTGTGTGTGTGGGTATCTGTGTGTGTGTCTGTGTGTATGCGTTTGTGTTTGTGTGTTTGTCTGTGTATGTGTGTGTATTTATGCATATCTGTGTGTGTTTATGTGTGTATATGTTTGTGAACATGTATGTGTGTGTATTTATGCATATCTGTGTGCGTATGTGTGTGTGTATCTGTGTGTGTGTGTGTATATGTGTGTGTTTGTGTGTGTGTCTGTGTGTGTGTGTACGTGTTTGTGTGTATTTATGCATATCTGTGTGTGTGTGTGTGTGTGTGTGTATCTGTGTGTGTATGTGTGTGTGGGTGTGTGAGTGTGTGTATTTATGCATGTGTGTGTGTGTGTGTGTGTGTGTATGTGTGTGTGTAAATGTTTGTGAACAAGTATGTGTATATATATGTATGTGTGTATGCATGTATAGGTACAGTATGTATGTGTTTGTGTTTATGTATATGTATGCATGTATGTGTGTATATATGTACTGTATATGTTTGTATGTATGCATGTGTGTGTGTGTGTGTATGTATGTATATGTGTAATGCATGTATGTGTGGGTATATATATGTATGTGTATGTATATATGCGTGTGTAGTGATCATCAATGGTGTGGAGCCTCATTATCATTCTTTACTTTATCTTCACATTGATCTAAAACAGACTTTTTCAAATGTCAGTGTTTTTTGCTCAGTCATAAAAGAAAAACACTTAAAAAAGTACAGAACAAACTGTCGGGGGCAAAGAGGAACGGTCAGAGCGACGGCGATGACTCAAAACCTGATGAATCTCCATAAATAACTTTGTGTGGGTGGAGGAGACGGAAATAAAAAAATGATATCTTAAAGAGCGACTAAACACCTGTGCCCAGCCTTACTCCGCCCACATGAAGATTTGAAAATGTTCTCTAAAAAGGGCGTTGCCTGGGGGACCAAGGGACAAGAAGGGGGGCTTAGAATTGGGCGTGGTCTGGGCTGTGATTGACAGCTCACTTGTCACACACAAAAAAAAACAGACAGTTGTCATTGCTGCTTAAAGCAATAGTCTACACACCAGAAAGTCTCATTCCACCCTTGTTTACACACTAAGATAATTGTAAAGCTACACAGCTGAACCTAATCACACTCAATAATCTCAGAATGACTCATGTAATTTAATTTTAATCCACTAGATGGCGCCAGAATACTCCAAACTGCAGCTGGGGCGTGTGTGAGAGTTGAATGGGTTTATATCACTGGCTCTGACAGACTGACGTCACACAAAACAACTGATGTCATAGAGAACTTCAGAGTCAATGGAGAGGCCAGAACCAAATTCAAATGTAGTACCACCAAAAAGGTTGAGAGGGCGCCACACAGACGTTTTTTGGCTCAAAAGTGATGTTTTATCTAATTTGAACTAAAATGTCAAAAAAATGACCAGGATCTGTAGACAGCACTACAATAAACATATTTATGCAGTTTATGAGTATAAAAAAGTTGATTTGGTGTTTAGTCGCTCTTTAAGTATTTTCATGTCAATACTGTTTCCTTAAAGGGGAGGTGCCTGACTTTAAAACCACAACAAATCCAATGATAGTCCATTGGATAGTCATTCTGGAAGATTCTACAAGTTGATCCTTTATGGACCGGAGACCAGGTGGATGACAGAGACCAGGTGGATCACAAAGACCAGGTGGATCACAGAGACCAGGCTGGATCACAGAGACCAGGCTGGATCACAGAGACCAGGTGGATCACAGAGACCAGGTGGATCACAGAGACCAGGTGGATCACAGAGACCAGGTGGATCACAGAGACCAGGTGGATCACAGAGACCAGGCTGGATCACAGAGACCAGGTGGATCACAGAGACCAGGTGGATCACAGAGACCAGGCTGGATCACAGAGACCAGGCTGGATCACAGAGACCAGGTGGATCACAGAGACCAGGTGGATCACAGAGACCAGGTGAATCACAGAGACCAGGTGGATCTGATTTTGTCCTGGAGAAATCAGCCTGCAGATGGCGCTGTTGTCCTCATTTTGTTTTAATTATTTCCTTTAAAAAAATGGCTTCTATCCATAGACTGTAAAAATCAACGGACGTAGTCACGTCTATCTCCGCCGTTCTAACTAATGGGCCAAAAAATATCCAAGATGGCCGCGAGTGGTCCCGCCCACAAGAAAATTGTGAAAAAACGCATCTGCGCATGCGTCAGCCGGAGCAGCTCCATTCATTTGAACGAGACTTAAAAAATTCCCTGCGACTAAACTAGAGTGGACCAAGACACTCCCTCAGCATTGACACACATGTGGAACGGAGCTTTGGGCCAAGAGACAACTTTTGGTGTATCTTGTAAAAACGTTTTCGAGAGGTCTGCCAATGCTATATGTTAGCATTGGCTAATTCTACTTCTGGGTCCACCCCCACAGGCCCGGGGTGGTATTGCAGCATGTCAGCGCACGTCATTTTGGCCACTGCTTCTATCACTTGTTTCCACGTTATCTTTGGCTATACCTGCATGAGAAAGCCAGATCCCATCATACATCTGAAGCTAAACAGGGCAAGGCCTGGTTAGTATTGTGATGGGAGACCTTTGGGAATACTGAGTGCTAAACTGTGGTTGTGTCCTTAGGCAAGACACTTCACCCACATTAGAATGAGTCTGGTGTGTGTGTGAGTGGTTGGTGGAGCGCGGAGAGGCAGATGGCACAGACTGGTTGCCTCGCTTCTGTCAGTGTGCCCCAGGGCGGCAGCGGCTACAGTAGTAGTTTATCTCCACCGTGTATGGAGTGAATGAAAACTGACATGTGTCCAAAAAAGCTCTGTACAAAACCCATGCATTATTATTATTTTCACTTCTGTAGATCTGATTTTTCAGACAGAAAAGTAAAAAAGACCACCCTCACTCTGCCCAAAGAGTCAAATAGTGACTCACAGAGCTCTTTTTTTAACTTACATATGTTTAGGGACAAAGAAGAAACCTCTGGCAACAAACACACACTTGTCCCGACCCTTCTGCCAAAACTCTCCTTAAAGCCACTCTGCGTAATTTTTATAGTTGCTCTAGATGAAAAAACATGTTAAACAAAAACAAATGTGACTTTTTTTACGAATATTTACCTCCACCATGTTTTTTTAATTCTTGTCATAGGCTTAGAATTTGACTTATAAATGTCCATGAGGCTGAGGACTTTTTGTGTCCAAGCGCCATCTTGAAATACAGTGGTGGATAAGGGACAAAAAGGAATTGGGGACCACATTTTTTTTTTTTCTCCTCCCTCTCCACCAAACCACTCCCCCCTCTCCTCCCTCTCCACCAAACCACTCCCCCCTCTCCTCCCTCTCCACCAAACCACTCCCCCCTCCCCTCCCTCTCCACCAAACCACTCCCCCCTCTCCTCCACCAAACCACTCCCCCCTCTCCTCCCTCTCCACCAAACCACTCCCCCCTCCCCTCCCTCTCCACCAAACTACTCCCCCCTCCCCTCCCTCTCCACCAAGCCACTCCAATAATCAATTCCATTACTATCTGAACACACATAATTACTTGTCTACTTTTGGGTTTTCGCACAATACTTTAAAAAAAAAAAATGCGTCTGGAAAAAAATCACTGACTGCATCTTTAACCGCTAAATCTAATCAAAATCTCTCTCTCTTCTCGTCGTCAGTCTATGGCAGTGTTTTTGCAGCTCCTCTACAGTCTGTCAGAGATTTGAAGAACCTGAAGTGGATGAAAAGTGACTGTGAAGGTCAAAAGCAATGAGCGCAAAGAGAGGAGCACTCAGCGTTTGTAGCGTACAATTTATTGAACACAAATATGTTGAGGAAATAGCCACATTATCACAGAGTCAATGGCACTTAACCGTAGGTGGAAAGCCCTGTCGTCATGGGAACGGCATGGGCCAACACTTTACACATTATACAGCATTAAACGGCATTACACAGCATTACACTGCCTTACACGGCTCCGCCAAACCACTCCCCCCCCCCCCTCCCCTCACCCCTCCACCAAACCACTCCCCCTCTACCCTCACCCCTCCACCAAACCACTCCCCCCCCTCCCCTCAACCAAACCACTCCCCCTCTACCCTCACCCCTCCACCAAACCACTCCCCCCCTCCCCTCACCCCTCCACCAAACCACTCCCCCTCTACCCTCACCCCTCCATCAAACCACTCCCCCCCCCTCCCCTCACCCCTCCCCCCCTCCCCTCACCCCTCCACCAAACCACTCCCCCCCCTCCCCTCACCTCTCCACCAAACCACTCCCCCCTCCCCTCTCCTCTCCACCAAACCACTCCCCCCCTCCCCTCTCCTCTCCACCAAACCCACTCCCCCCTCACCCCTCCACCAAACCACTCCCCCCCTCCCCTCTCCTCTCCACCAAACCACTCCCCCCTCACCCCTCCACCAAACCACTCCCCCCCCCTCCCCTCACCCCTCCACCAAACCACTCCCCCCTCCACCAAACCACTCCCCCCCTCCCCTCTCCACCAAACCACTCCCCCCCCTCCCCTCACCCCTCCACCAAACCACTCCCCCCTCCACCAAACCACTCCCCCCCTACCCTCACCCCTTCACCAAACCACTCCCCCTCTACCCTCACCCCTCCACCAAACCACTCCCCCCCCTCCCCTCACCCCTCCACCAAACCACTCCCCCTCTACCCTCACCCCTCCACCAAACCACTCCCCCCCTCCCCTCACCCCTCCACCAAACCACTCCCCCTCTACCCTCACCCCTCCATCAAACCACTCCCCTCCCCCTCACCCCTCCACCAAACCACTCCCCCCCTCCCCTCACCCCTCCACCAAACCACTCCCCCCCTCCCCTCACCCCTCCACCAAACCACTCCCCCCCTCCCCTCACCCCTCCACCAAACCACTCCCCCCCTCCCCTCACCCCTCCACCAAAACCACTCC